CAGCAACCACAGCTAATGAAGTCACTGAAACCCTTAACAAGGAGTTGCAGTCAGTTTTGAAATGGGTGGCCAGTAATAAACTGGTCCTGAACATCTCTAAAACTAAGTACATTGTATTTGGTACAAATCATTCCCTAAGCTCTAGACCTCAGCTGAATCTGGTAATGAATGGTGTGGCTGTTGAACAAGTTGAGGAGACTAAATTACTTGGTGTTACCTTAGATTGTAATAGTCAAAACATATACATCTGAAGTCGGAAGTTTACATACACCTTAGCCAAATACGTTTAAACTCTTTTCACAATTCCTGACATTTAATCCTAGTAAATATTCCCTGTCTTAGGTCAGTTAGGATCACCACTTTATTTTAAGAATGTGAAATGTCAGAATAATAGTAGGATAATTATTTATTTAAGCTTTTCTTTCTTTCATCACATTCCCAGTCGGTCAGACGTTTACATACACTCAATTAGTATTTGGTAGCATTGCCTTTAAATTGTTTAACTTGGGTCAAATGGTTTCGGGTAGCCTTCCACAAGCTTCCCACAATAAGTTGTGTGAATTTTGGCCCATTCCTCGACAGAGCTGGTGTAACTGAGTCAGGTTTGTAGTCCTCCTTGCTCGCACATGCTTTTTCAGTTCTGCCCACACATTTTCTATAGGATTGAGGTCAGGGCTTTGTGATGGCCACTCCAATACCTTGACTTTGTTGTCCTTAAGCCATTTTGTCACAACTTTGGAAGTATGCTTGGGGTCATTGTCCATTTGGAAGACCCATTTGCGACCAAGCTTTAACTTCCTGACTGATGTCTTGAGATGTTGCTTCAATATATCTACATAATTTTACTTCCTCATGATGCCATCTATTTTGTGAAGTGCACCAGTCCCTCCTGCAGCAAAGCACCCCCACAGCATGATGCTGCCACCCCTGTGCTTCACGGTTGGGATGGTGTTCTTCGGCTTGCAAGGCTTCCCCTTTTTCCTCCAAACATAACAATGGTCATTATGGCCAAACAGTTCTATTTTTGTTTCATCAGACCAGAGGACATTTCTCCAAAACGTACGATCTTTGTCCCCATGTGCAGTTGCAAACCGTAGTCTGGCTTTTTATGGTGGTTTTGGAGCAGTGGCTTCTTCCTTGCTGAGTGGCCTTTCAGGTTATGTCGATATAGGACTCGTTTTACTGTGGATATAGATACCTTTGTACCGGTTTCCTCCAGCATCTTCACAAGGTCCTTTGCTGTTGTTCTGGGATTGATTTGCATCTTTTGCACCAAAGTACGTTCATCTCTAGGAGACAGAACGCGTCTCCTTCCTGAACAGTATGATGGCTGTGTGGTCCCATGGTGTTTATACTTGCGTACTATTCTTTGTACAGATGAACGTGGTACCTTCAGGCGTTTGGAAATTGCTCCCAAGGATGAACAAGACTTGTGGAGGTCTACAATTGTTTTTCTGAGGTCTTGGCTGATTTCTTTTGATTTTCCCATGATGTGAAGCAAAGAGGCACTGAGTTTGAAGGTAGGCCTTGAAATACATCCACAGGTACACCTCCAATTGACTCAAATTATGTCAATTAGCCTATCAGAAGCTTCTAAAGCCATGACATCATTTTCTGGAATTTTCCAAGCTGTTTAAAGGCAGTCAACTTAGTGTATGTAAACTTCTGACCCACTGGAATTGTGATACAGTGAATTCTAAGTGAAATAATCTGTCTGTAAACAATTTTTGGAAAAATGACATTTTAGGTTATTGTGTGTAAATTGGTGAGAGAAAAAATAAATATTTAATCAATTTAGAAATCAGGCTGTAACACAGCAAAATGTGGAATAACTCAAGGGGTATGAATACTTTCTGAAGGCACTGTATGAACTGAACATAACAGTACGCCAGTGGAAGGGAGAACAGTAGCAGGTGTCCCAACTGTGGTTTGTGAATACTATGATTTCCCAGCCAATTCAATTGCAGAGAAATTAGAAAATATCTTAAAGATATGTGGGTTTTTGCTAACGGAATTACAATGCATAAGGCAATGTTTCTTAAACTTACAGAAGGCAAATCATTTCTCCAAAACTAAATATGTGTTGATATGAGTTGGCAGAGGTCTTTACTTCAACATTATTGTGTTTTGATGTATTTCTAATACTTTTTAAAGAAATGTTCAACTAGATATTGACTAAGACCCCCTTTCCATCTGTTTGACCAGAAATCAAAGCCTTTGCTTATTGCTAATTTTTAGGATGGAAAATGGTTGAAAATGAATACTTGCCTTCAGAAAGTATTCAGACCCCTTGACCTTTTCCACATTTTGTTACATTACAGCCTTCCTCTAAAATTGATTAAATAAAATACATTCCTCAGCAATCTACACACGATACCCCATAATGACAAAGCGAAAAGAGGTTCTTAGAAATGTTTGCAAATTTATAAAAATAAATACCTTATTTACATAAATATTCAGACCCTTTGCTATGAGACTCGAAATTGAGCTCAGGTGCATCCTGTTTGCATTGATCATCCTTAAGATGTTTCTACAACTTGATTGGGGTCCACCTGTGGTAAATTCAATTGATTGGACATGATTTGGAAAGGCACACACCTGTTTACATAAGGTCCCACAGTTGACAGTGCATGTCAGAGCAAATACCAAGCCATGAGGTTGAAGGAATTGTCTGTAGAGATCCAAGACAGGATTGTGCTGAGGCACAGATCTGGGGAAGGGTACCAACACATTTCTGCAGCATTGTAGGTCCCCAAGAACACAGTGGCCTCCATCATTCTTAAATGGAAGAAGTTTGGAACCACCAAGAATCTTCCTAGAGCTGGCTACCCGGCCAAACTGAGCAAACGGCAGAGAAGGGCCTTGGTCAGGGAGGTGACCAAGAACCCGATGTTCACTCTGACAGAGCTCTAGAGTTCCTTTGTGGCGATGGGAGAACCTTCCAGAAGGACAACCATCTCTGCAGCACTCCACCAATCAGGCCTTTATGGTAGAGTGGCCAGACGGAAGCCACTCCTCAGTAAAAGGCACATGACAGCCCGCTTGGAGTTTGCCAAAAGGCACCTAAAGACTCTCAGACCATGAGAAATGAGATTCTCTGGTCTGATGAAACCAAGATTGAACTCTTTGGCCTGAATGCCAAGCATCACGTCTGGATGAAACCTGGCACCATCCCTACGGTGAAGCATGGTGGTGGCAGCATCATGCTGTGGGGATGTTTTTCAGCGGCAGGGACTTGGAGACTAGGCAGGATCGAGGGAAAGATGAACGGAGTAAAGTACAGAGAGATCCTTGATGAAAACCTGCTCCAGAGCGCTCAGGACCTCAGACTGGGGCGAAGGTTCATCTTCCAACAGGACAACGACCCTAAGCACACAGCCAAGACAACGCAGGAGTGGCTTCGGGACAAGTCTCTGAATGTCCTTGAGTGTCCCAGCCAGAGCCCGGACTTGAATCCGATCTAACATCTCTGGAGAGACCTGAAAATAGCTGTGCAGCAACGTTCCCCATCCAACCTGACAGAGCTTGAGAGGATCTGCAGAGAAGAATGTGAGAAACTCCCCAAAGACAGGTGTGCCAAGCTCTCACCCAAGAAGACTCTAGGCTGTAATCTCTGCCAAAGGTGCTTCAACAAAGTACTGAGTAAATGGTCTGAATACTTATGTAAATGTGATATTTCAGTTTTCTATTTTTAACAAATTAGCAAAAAAATCTAAAAACCACTTTTTGCGTTGTCATTATGGGGTATTGTGTGTAGATTGACGAGGGAAAAAAACAATGTAATTAATTTTAGAATAAGGCTGTAACAGAACAAAATGTGGAAAATGTCAACAGGTCTGAATACTTTCCAAAGGCACTGTATGCCTTAATTTCTCAAAAAATATAGACTCTTAGCTTTCATTTGACACCCAATTTGACATGCTCCTATGAACTTCACATGTTGGTGCTATTGGGTCCTTTTAGATGGAAATGCCCAGAGAGGGAGAGAGAGAGAGGGAAGGAGATAAATGAGTTTTAGAATACCTGGCAGAACATACAGTATGAGATGAGTTCAATACCAAAACACCAGTATTCAACTCTTCATTCAGCCTCTATCCAAGATTAAATGTGTGTTACACATGAGTGAGTTTGAAACTATTATATTTGGACGATTAACCCTTTGTGTGAGATAACAAATGGATTACTGTGGGAACAATGAACAAATACATTCAAAATCCTAGGTGCTGACGTAAGATTACTTATGTTGCGTATGTGTGCACATCTTGCATGCACGTGTGTGTGTGTGCATGTATGTATCCCGCCCTGAATCCATTATAGCCCACTGTAATCAGTCAGGAAGCAGTGCCAATGTTGCACCACTCTGTTTACGGATCTGTGTTTTTACACACGTTTCTGCTCACGCTGGCATTTCCAAGGATTCTCTCTGCTGTTTGTCCCTAACTGTCTCTGTGAATTTTTCCAGTGGGAAAATGGGATCGCTTGCCTGGAATCGCACATGTTCCAACTGTAATGTTTACTGTGAGACAGCGGTAGCATGTCAGGGGCGGACTAGGACCAGTACTCGGCCCTGGCATTTCTAACACACCGGCCATTTTTTTCCTTGATGCCCCCATTATTAGACAAATAATTATGAAAAGGCCCACTGGGCTAAAAATGGACCAGCCCATATGGCATTTGCCCGAAATGCCAGATGGCCAGTCCGCCCCTGCTGCATGGTGATGGAACATCACCAATGTATGTGTGTGCGTGTGTGTGTGTGTGTGTGTCCAATGCAGTGAGTAAGAGCAGGCAGAGAGTTTGAGGACAAAGTGGAGCCACGAGGGAGAGAACACTGTGATAGATTCTCTGTCCATTGTCCACAGACACCTTGAGAGAATGAGAACAACATAGTTATCTGTTTCCATATGGAGCAGCAACCTCAGAAAGAGAGGGAGGAGGAGAAGGGTGAGGGAGAGAGGGGCAGAGAGAGAGGGGTTCAAGAGGGGGATTGATGAGACTCAATGTGTGTGGGGTACTCGTTGGTTGAGTGAATGGAGCACTGTGTGTGTGTGTCCTACCTGTCTGTAGCTGTAGCCCTGTAGCAGCAGTAGATAGGGGTAGTCTTGGGGAGGGTGAATGGAGTAAAGTGTTACGTTATCGTCACTGCTCTCCGTCTCCTCCCTCTCTCTCCCCCTCTCTCTCTCCGTCTCAGGGGAAGGACAGAGGGGCTCTGTGTAAGTCTCTGATCCAGGGTCCTCCAGAGGGGAAACATTAGCGTCAACGTAGCTCTCTTCATCTCTATGTTTGAGGTTCTGATCGGGGTTCCATTTGTGATTCCGTTCCACATTCTGTTCATGGTTCTGACTGTGACACGGATTGTGGTTCTCGTCTTGACTGGGAGTGTGGAACTCATTTGGGTTCTGACTAAGGGGCTCAGTGGGGTTCTGTTGGTGGTTCTGTTGTGTTTCTGTGGATTGGGATGAGAGGTCTGCTTCACTCTGGCTCCTCCACAGGCCCGGCCCCCGTTCAGACTGGTTCTGGCCCCCACATACCCTCCCACCCCTGTCCTTTTGGTTCTGAGCGCCACAAACACCCCTCTCTAGGGTAGAGGTCACATACACACTCCTCCCCTCGATCAGGGCAGAGGTGACTCGAGAGCGGCTCTTCTGGAGTTTACGAGCCTGGGCGTTGATGCCTGAGAGACAGGAGAGAGTTTGGATATGTGTGTGTGGCTGCCAAAGTCAACATGCAGAAGCTAACGTGCAGGAAACAGACTACAGTGGTGGATATGATGGTTTGGAGAGAAAAACTTTCAACATTAAAACGGTAAAACAGTCAAACACAGGCAAGTGGCTATCATAAGAGCTGGTTTCACCATTCATAAGACAAACACATAACAGGATGCACCCCTACGTCATTTTGCTGTCCCTTAGTCCCTTCCCCCTGGCAAAGACCCTACCCTGGTATCATATCCCACATGAATCAATCAATTAACTACCAGGGAACAAAGAAAACCACTAGTACTGCAGACCTTGCAGTCTCCCTCTCAGTCCTACCAGCAGTGACCGTGTCCTTGTCTCTTGATCTCTTTTCCTCCACACTAGCTCTCCTCTGGATCTCAAACCGCCTCGCCAAACCCTCCCTGGGTTTCCATAGTGACTGCAGGAGGAGGGGCTTCTCATTGTCACCGACGACCCGGAAGCATTCCGTCCTCCATTGGTGGTCGCCCACGTAGCCAATGGAGTCGCAGAGAACATATGACTCCGCCTCTTCCTTGTTCAGACCGTACCTGGGCAATTAAGGGAAGTGAAGATGTTTATAACAAGGATAATATTTACAACTAACAACTCTTGGAGGACAATGGGAACGGACTTCAGTAGGCTTAGTCTATGTCTGGTAAACTGGCTCTGCATGTGCATTAAAACGCCAAGCTCAGAAACCCACCCTGAGTATCTCCATTCTGTTTCTGGTTATAATACAGTATATTAAGTAAGGTGAGAGACTGAGAGTGGGAGTGAGAGTGTGAGTGAGAGAGAGAGAGAGAGAGAGAGAGAGAGAGAGCGCGCCTCTCAACAGCATGGTTAAACTGGCCAGCCTTCACGGTTTGTGGTTCTCTCTAGAATGTTCCATAACTTCCATGTAAACGCTAGATCTGGCATGCACACACTCAATGCATTATACTGAAGTTATAGCCCACACAAACATGCATGCACACACACCGGACATGTACACTCAATGCACTATACTGTAGTTATAAGAAACAACTACCCTTGAGAACAATATATCAATTTGTCTGAATTTGATTCCTTGCATAGCATAGGCTCAACGTCAGCGTGAAGGATGTGCATTAGTCATTTACTTCACAATGGGCGCTCTGGCATAGTACTTATAGCTCACAGGCCCCTGATACTGGATAACAAGCTGCACATGTCACGTCGTTAAAACAATTGCCAAACAAGTTTCATATACGATCAAAGACTCAGTATGTCATTACAGTATATTTATGATTCTCCATAAATATATAAGACATAGAATACCATAACAAACAATGGAAGGGGATGGTGATAGATCTTTAAATATACCCAAGATCTAAGAAATCTAAGACAACATGCACACACACACTCCCGTACCTCTCCAGGGCCTCTTTGACCAGCTCCTTAGCACTGGAGTGTGTTGTTGCCAGGACGCTCTTGTAGTTGGCCCCCTGGCAGATCTCACTGCCAAAGATCTTCAGAATGCCTGGGGCCGTTATCTGATTGGACAGCTCTGCAGGGTCGTCTGTCATTGGTGCATCCCCAGGAGATACTAGATGGACATGTCAAGAAGAACAGTAGTGACTACAGTGCCTTGCAAAAGTTTTCATCCCCCTTGGCGTTTTTTCCTATTTTGTTGCATTACAACCTGTAATTTAAATGGATTTTTATTTGGAATTCATGTATTGGACACACAAAATAGTCCAAATTGGTGAAGTGAAATGAAAAAAATTACTTGTTTCAAACAATTCTAAAAAATAAATAACGGAAAAGTGGTGTGTGCATATGTACAGTCGTGGTCGAAAGTTTTGAGAATGACACAAATATAAATTTTCACAAAGTCTGCTGCCTCAGTTTTTATGATGGCAATTTGCATATACTCCAGAATGTTATGAAGAGTGATCAGATGAATTGCAATTAATTGCAAAGTCCCTCTTTGCCATGAAAATGAACTTAATCCCCAAAAAACATTTCCACTGAATTTCAGCCCTGCCACAAAAGGACCAGCTGAAATCATGTCAGTGATTCTCTCGTTAACACAGGTGAGAGTGTTGACGAGGACAAGGCTGGAGATCACTCTGTCATGCTTTCTTCCTCTGTTAACCATGGTTACCTGCAAGGAAACACGTGCCGTCATCATTGCTTTGCACAAAAAGGGATTCACAGGCAAGGATATTGCTGCTAGTAAGATTGCACCTAAATCAACCATTTATCGGATCATCAAGAACTTCAAGAGGTTCAATTGTTGTGAAGGAGGATTCAGGGCGCCCAAGAAAGTCCAGCAAGAGCTAGGACCGTCTTCTAAAGTTGATTCAGCTGCAGGATCGGGGCACCACCAGTGCAGAGCTTGCTCTGGAATGGCAGCAGACAACTGTGAGTGCATCTGCACGCACAGTGAGGCGAATACTTTTGAAGGATGGCCTGGTGTCAAGAAGGACTGGGGTAAAGTAATTTTCTCTGATGAATCCCCTTTCCGATTGTTTGGGGCATCTGGAAAAAAGCTTGTCCGGAGAAGACAAGGTGAGCGCTACCATCCGTCCTGTGTCATGCCAACAGTAAAGCATCCTGAGACCATTCATGTGTGGGGTTGCTTCTCAGCCAAGGGAGCGGGCTCACTCACAATTTTGCCTAAGCCATGAATAAAGAATGGTACCAACACATCCTCCGAGAGCAACTTCTCCCAACCATCCAAGAACAGTTTGGTGATGAACAATGCCTTTTCCAGCATGATGGAGCACCTTGCCAAAAGGCAAAAGTGATAACTAAGTGGCTCGGGGAACAAAACATCGACATTTTGGGTCCATGGCCAGGAAACTCCCCAGACCTTAATCCCATTGAGAACTTGTGGTCAATCCTCAAGAGGTGGGTGGACAAACAAAAACCCACAAATTCTGACAAACTCCAAGCATTGATTATGCAAGAATGGGCTGCCATCAGTCAGGATGTGGCCCAGAAGTTAATTGACAGCATGCCAGGGCGGATTGCAGAGGTCTTAAAGAAGAAGGGTCAACACTGCAAATATTGACTCTTTGCATAAACTTTAATGTAATTTTTCAATAAAAGCCTTTGACACTTATGGAATGCTTGTATTTATATTTCAGTATACCATAGTAACATCACGGACCAGGCAAGGAGGGCATTAATCAGAGGCAACAGTATGAAACAGTATGAAAATGTATGCACTCACTAACTGTAAGTCGCTCTGGGTAAGAGCATCTGCTAAATGACTATAATGTAATGTAATGTAACAAAGAGACCAAAGTTAACCCTGAAGGAGCTGCAAAGCTCCACAGCGGAGATTGGAGTATCTGTCCATAGGACAACTTTACGCCGTACACTCCCCAGAGCTGGGCTTTATTGAAGTGTGGCCAGAAAAAAGCCATTGCTTAAAGAAAAAAAATAAGCAAACACATTTGGTGTTCGCCAAAATGCCTGTGGGAGACTCCCCAAACATATGGAAGAAGGTACTCTGGTCAGATGAGACTAAAATTGAGCTTTTTGGCCATCAAGGAAAATGCTAGGTCTGGTGCAAACCCAACACCTCTCAGCACCCCGAGAACACTATCCCCACAGTGAAGCATGGTGGTGGCAGCATCATGCTGTGGGGATGGTTTTCATCGGCAGGGACTGGGAAACTGGTCAGAATTGAAGGAATGATGGATGGCGCTAAATACAGGGAAATTCTTGAGGGAAACCTGTTTCAGTCTTCCAGAGATTTGAGACTGGGAAGGAGGTTCACCTTCCAGCAGGACAATGACCCTAAGCATACTGCTAAAGCAACACTTGAGTGGTTTAAGGGGAAACATTTAAATGTCTTGGAATGGCCTAGTCAAAGCCCAGACCTCAATCCAATTGAGAATTTGTGGTATGACTTGAAGATTGCTGTACACCAGCGGAACCCATCCAACTTGAAGGAGCTGGAGCAGTTTTGCCTTGAAGAATGGCCAAAAATCCCAGTGGCTAGATGTGCCAAGCTTATAGAGACATACCCCAACAGACTTGCAGCTGTAATTGCTGCAAAAGGTGGCTCTACAAAGTATTGACTTTGGGGGGATGAATAGTTATGCACTCTCAAGTATTATTTTTTTTTACTCATTTCTTGTTTGTTTCACAATAACAAATATTTTGCATCTTCAAAGTGGTAGGCATGTTGTGTAAATCAAATGATACAAACCCCCAAAAAATCAATTTTAATTCCAGGTTGTAAGGCAACAAAATAGGAAAAATGGGGGGGTGAATGCTTTCGCAAGCCACTGTTTATCATCAGAACTAGTAAGCAAGTGCACTTAATTTAGTTTAGGCTGGGGTCGGTGTTAAGGTTTAGACTGGTTGCCAGTCAGACGTTTTCTGCTTAAGCCAACTGATTTGTCATTTACAAGGTTAGGGTTAATGTTTATAAAAACACAATTTTGATTAGAAAAAGACATACTTCCGTCCTTCAACTCCTTCCGACCGTGGCTAGGTAAGCCAGGTAACCCGGGTAAGGCTATGGTGGTGGCGTTATGGGCGGAGCCTCGCTGGAACACAGCAGATAGGCGGTTGGTATGACGGCGGATGCGACTCCTGGATGGCTGTCTGATGACGTCCACGCCCACACTGTCAGCTGACCTGGTACTGGAACCAGAGGAGCCTGACCTGAGGGGAGGGGGAGGGGGAGGGGGGAGAGCGAGAGACACACAGATCGAGATAATGAGAAAGAGAGATAAAGGGAGAGAGAAATGTAGAGAGAATTCGCTCTGTCAGTGAACAATGTTGTCCCACCAATTAGTGTGTTACAAAATGCTAGAATGACATACAGTGGAGAAAAAAAGTATTTAGTCAGCCACCAATTGTGCAAGTTCTCCCACTTAAAAAGATGAGAGAGGCCTGTAATTTTCATCATAGGTACACGTCAACTATGACAGACAAATTGAGAAAAAAAGATCCAGAAAATCACATTGTAGGATTTTTAATGAATTTATTTGCAAATTATGGTGGAAAATAAGTATTTGGTCACCTACAAACAAGCAAGATTTCTGGCTCTCACAGACCTGTAACTTCTTCTTTAAGAGGCTCCTCTGTCCTCCACTCGTTACCTGTATTAATGGCACCTGTTTGAACTTGTTATCAGTATAAAAGACACCTGTCCACAACCTCAAACAGTCACACTCCAAACTCCACTATGGCCAAGACCAAAGAGCTGTCAAAGGACACCAGAAACAAAATTGTAGACCTGCACCAGGCTGGGAAGACTGAATCTGCAATAGGTAAGCAGCTTGGTTTGAAGAAATCAACTGTGGGAGCAATTATTGGGAAATGGAAGACATACAAGACCACTGATAATCTCCCTCGATCTGGGGCTCCACGCAAGATCTCACCCCGTGGGGTCAAAATGATCACAAGAACGGTGAGCAAAAATCCCAGAACCACACGGGGGGACCTAGTGAATGACCTGCAGAGAGCTGGGACCAAAGTAACAAAGCCTACCATCAGTAACACACTACGCCGCCAGGGACTCAAATCCTGCAGTGCCAGACGTGTCCCCCTGCTTAAGCCAGTACATGTCCAGGCCCATCTGAAGTTTGCTAGAGTGCATTTGGATGATCCAGAAGAGGATTGGGAGAATGTCATATGGTCAGATGAAACCAAAATATAACTTTTTGGTAAAAACTCAACTCGTCGTGTTTGGAGGACAAAGAATGCTGAGTTGCATCCAAAGAACACCATACCTACTGTGAAGCATGGGGGTGGAAACATCATGCTTTGGGGCAGTTTTTCTGCAAAGGGACCAGGACGACTGAACCGTGTAAAGGAAAGAATGAATGGAGCCATGTATCGTGAGATTTTGAGTGAAAACCTCCTTCCATCAGCAAGGGCATTGAAGATGAAACGTGGCTGGGTCTTTCAGCATGACAATGATCCCAAACACACCGCCCGGGCAACGAAGGAGTGGCTTCGTAAGAAGCATTTCAAGGTCCTGGAGTGGCCTAGCCAGTCTCCAGATCTCAACCCCATAGAAAATCTTTGGAGGGAGTTGAAAGTCCGTGTTGCCCTGCGACAGCCCCAAAACATCACTGCTCTAGAGGAGATCTGCATGGAGGAATGGGCCAAAATACCAGCAACAGTGTGTGAAAACCTTGTGAATACTTACTGAAAACGTTTGACCTGTGTCATTGCCAACAAAGGGTATGTAACAAAGTATTGAGAAACTTTTGTTATTGACCAAATACCTATTTTCCACCATAATTTGCAAATTAATTCATTAAAAATCCTACAGTGTGATTTTCTGGATTTTTTTTTCTCATTTTGTCTGTCATAGTTGACGTGTACCTATGATGAAAATGGGAGAACTTGCACAATTGGCGGCTGACTAAAGACTTTTTTTCCCCACTGTACTGTATGTTCAATGTACTCACACACAACTAGAACTCTAATGAAAAAACATTCCAGAAAATCAAAAGAATATTAATCTAAACCCACTGTGTCATTTGCTCATGAAGTCTCTACCCTCTTTGAGAAAGGTATCAACATTGAGTCTCAACTAGACATTACCATCCATCCATCAACAGTCCCCAATCTTACTTTACTGTGCTATGCCCAGTCTGTTAATGAGATAATATGGTGTTTTTAGACCTATTTCTGTAACAATCCTTGTAAGCTTCTTATTTTAATTGCTCAATGCTTCACTGTTAAGGGAATTGGGGTTGTTTCTTTCAGATTAACGTTTATAAAAGCCCCACAGTGGATGTGTCATAATACCCATAAAACCTAGTGGTTAAAACCAGAAATGGTTCCAATAGTTTTCTCCCCATTCATTTTTCCCATAGGGGAATTTAGAACCACTTCAAACAAGGTCTGTGTTTCATGTAGGCTTTCCCTGGCGTGACATTTTAATAACCATGTAAATCTCTCTCGGACAAGGTGACTTTTATCAATATATTAGTCTCTATTTACTCTCAGATTCGAAAAAGCTAATTAGCATCAAAATAGACATCATGCAAGACTACAAATCCCTGCAAGCTCCGGCACCTTTGCCTCCAGCTACCTAGCTACTACCTACCTTGATCCAAAACTAGGGCGGCAGGTAGCTTAGTGGGTAAGAGCGTTGTGCCAGTAACCGAAAGGTCGCTGGTTCTAATCCCCGAGCCAACTAGGTGAAAAATCTGTCGATGTGCCCTTGAGCAAGGCACTTAACCCTAATTGCTCCTGTAAGTCGCTCTGGATAAGAGCGTCTGCTAAATGACTAAAAATAAATAAAAAATAAAAATAAAATAAAAACTTAATATATATTTTACATTTTCATTTACTGTTCCATATTTTATTTAACTAATACTTGTTGGCTTATTTATGCATTTGGTCTTGTATCTTGTACAGAATACTATCCTAGTAGCAGTCAGATATTTACAAATTCCATGAATACTAGGCTAGTTTCTTGCAAAGAAGCTAGCTAGCTAGCTACCTAGATGACATTAGCAACATACCCTTATTTTACCAGATCCTCTTCTCCTTTAGCCGGTGGAGTTCCATATTTAATCTCTTATGTCTGCCAACTAATGAACGAGGTGAAATCTATTTCAATTCACTGTGTCAGAATGCACTGCTGTATTAAAGCAAGATAGTCGAAAGTCGTCTGTTCTTTCGACCAATTGATTGGTAAAAAAATTTAAACGTATATTTTTCCATATATAGACTGTGTTTTAATAAAATCAACTATATATGCATTGAGTTGGTCTGATGCTTTAAGCGCACTGTTTGATGAAATAAGACAAAAATGATTCAAGCGGGAGCCAGAGATCAAGACCAGAAGAAAAAAAATAACCTGAACCAACCATCCTCCTCCCGCTCCTACCTGGCTTTCGCAGATTCTGCCATTACTCTCCTGAAGTTGGCGGTAGTAGGCTACACGAGGAGTCGGCAACCTTTCTCATGTGGAATGCCAATTTATCTTACCATTTCTACCAGTTATGGTTTTCATATGGACATTTCCATGGTACAGTTTCATTTAATTTATAATAACGTCTTCGTATCTCAAAATCATTGTCATGTGGTTAATCAAAATTCTATCCAAATGAAAATGAAAATAATACACCTAAAAAGTAACTTCTATTGCCATTGCCAACTATGTAAAAATAGCCTATAAAGCCAACCACTAACAACATTGCAGCATGCAGGTATAACATATCCTGATAAAAATAAATATCCTATAAATCACATTGAGTAAGCATGGCCTGTGTGCAATGAACTTGAAACATTGTATCAACTATTAACTGGCCCGAAGCTCACACTAGCAAACTTTCAACATTGTATAAAATATTCTGGGCCCTAAGAGTTTCCTGCGCCAGTGAGCTCGGGACAGACACAGCTGTAGGCTATTTTTGAAAGGGACAAGAAGTAATCAGGTAGGCTTATTCTATGACGTTTCCACTGGATCAGAGCATGACATTTTTCCCTTTCATGCTGAGTGGTTATTGAAAGTGAGAGAGCTGGAAAGATTTTTCAAATACATTGGGGAACTATTGTCCTTATCAATGGATGTAAAAGCAGACTTTGTTTGCTTGCTGTTTGAGATGAAGAAAACATTACTTAGAGAAGCTCCAGAGCTCATTAGTGGTGGTGCGTTAAGCCAATCAGAAATACTATCAGATCCCCAAATGGGCACATTTATATGCCTACATTTGTGCGCAGGTCAGGTAACCAATAGGCCTACTTCTATGCAAACAAAAGACAATGACTAAATTGACAAAGCTCGTAATTGGAATGAAATAAACCAAAACTTGTTTCTCAAAAATGTAGCATAGATTGTGAGCTCTGGAAACAACCGGTGGCGTGTATTCATGGAGAAAAAAAAAATCCCCAAGAAAAACCTATAAAATAATGTATCTTTCGTCTCTCTGTGTTTCATACATTTCCTTTCATTCGCAAGAGGCTGAATGTATCTCACCGGAGAAAGCATCAGAGCGAGCGAAACAGCGCCCCTCTGTCTCTCTATGTGTAGGCCATCTATCTGATGCTGTCTGGTCCAAACAAGTATGACATTATTGCCGCCCGTAGCATTGAATGCATTTGGCTTCCCTTGATAAAAAAAAGTATGAAATAATAGCCAATCAGCGTTGAGCTCAACTTTGAATGGTCCTGGCGCACTAAAAAAAAGGGTCAAGGGAAGCCAGCTTGCATTTGGCGTCACTCCTTTGAAATCACATTGAGAGCATACGTCATTAACAGAAATAACTTGAATTGTTGCATCTCGTTGTGTTGTTGTCCTCCGTTGGCTAGCTAGCTAAAATTGTTCCTTTCCTAAATTAACCATGGATGGAGATAGGGATTTGGACTTGTGGTTTTACTTAATTCTCCATACTGGCCAATGATTATAACGGCGATTCTGATCCAACCATTGATTCATACATTGTTGTGCCCCTGGCCTGAGAGGATGGAAGTTCAATATGTAGCTAGATGTAGAAGGCTAATGTTAACTAGCTAACGTTGCCCACGAATGGAAGTTAGGCTAGCGAGCAAGCATTTTAGCCAGGTAGCCTAGGACAAAATAAAATAAAAGTGTGTACTGTATGACAGAGTGATAGACCGTTTCGTCAACATGAAAGAAAGGAGCATGGCATTGGCATTTCTCTACAAGTAGGGTGAGTCAACATGTTTTTTC